TTCGAACCCGAATTTTTCACAGTTCATTCTTGCATAGAAATGGGAAGTAAGTGTATTTAGATAAAGTGGTGAACATGGCTACATTAAAGTTTGTGACGTGATGCCTTATTAAAAATTGTGAAATAGTGAATGGATAGACAGGGCAACACTAATCCCACCAGAAACCGGGGTTGGTGCAATGTGCTCCGGAAGAGTAATGAGATCCTGCTCCACATATGGCAACCGTCATGGTCTGATGGCAAGTACACATTCGGAAATATCAGAATGTAGGAAAGGAAGACTGGATTTTTGCTACGACAATTAGAATGAAGCTATTTTTTTTAAAGATATAAATTCATTGATGTTGGTATTTTATGCAAACTCAGTTGAAATATATTTTAAAGTTTATTGTTTAATTTTTTGCAATATACCAAAAAAAATTAAGTATAACTTTCAAAATTTTTCGAACTGTAACCCTGCCAGAGAAATAATATTAAGGAAATTGTCCATGCTTCTTTCTGTTTTCTTTTTTAACCATTCATATAAAATTACCTTTATTGTATACGTATTTGCAATTTATTGCACCATCAGTGTATATAAAGTGCGAATCCAGTTAGTTCATTTTCACTGTTGCATGCGAGTATGTCTATTGTAGAATAAAGGATGATGGAAAAAACTACGTTTGTTTACTTTTTGAAAATACAAAATAAGAGATTTGAATGTATGTTTTAACAGAATTTCATTAGAATATAACTTTTTAATGTATAATAACAGGATTAAAGTCCAAAAAAGTGTTATTTAAGCAGCAGAATCCATAATATTGATTACTGAATGCGATTCATTTTAACTATAGATGCGATGAATTATCACTGTAAGTGCAATCATTTCTGATGTGGAATTTTTGGAAGTGCGATGAATTTTCATTGTCGTTTTATATGATTATTCGACATACAACAACTGAAAATAGTTTTTAAATGACTTTAATATTGATGATATTTACAATTTGAAATGCATGCTAGTCGTAGATGCTTACTTGAATATACACGGATATAACCACGTTCATATCATGAATATTCAAATATTATTGGTGAATTTGCTATTAGCTTGTCATGGATCCAAAAATTTACTGGAGCAGAACATCCATGAATATAACGTTTTTCTACGACGAATTTTCTTTGAAAAGTTTTATAACTCGCTTAAAAAAGCTTTGAACATTTGTCACGCCGTGTCATACATATTTCTACCGTATTGATAGGCTTTTGCACAACGAACAGTACAAGAATGTACAACGAACGGTACTAAAGAAAGAAAACAAACTACAAAGAGAATGAATCGTACAGTGTAAAAATTCTGAGGTCAGTTTTTCCAGTAAATGTCTTCAAATAAAATTAAACCAACGGGTTTCTCATTCGTATTATGTATTTCAACAACAACAACAAAGCACAAAATATACGATCGCATTTAGTGAAAGAGCCAACCAACTATGCCATATTTGTAGTTTAATCAAGTTTGAGTTACACATAGTGTTTGTTTCGCGATGTTTACAAGTAATTCACAGACCTGTCTATTTAAAATAGTCACATGGTGTTCATGAAATATAAATGATCTACAATGCTGCCAGGAGCAGTAAACTTTGTAATCATAAACATTGAATACTTAACTGAACAGTTAGTCCATTAGTCTTTGGTGTAAATATAAGAACGGTATATCTACCAACATTGCTTTGCGATGTAGCGATTAACGTCAGGAATCAACTGTACGGCGGTTATACCCCGTGGTATAGAACCATTTAAACATGTAACAATAAACTGTTTTTAATATTTCTTTGTATACTCAAATTTGCGTATTGGTTTATTTGTAACACCGACTTATAAGAAATTCAAGCATATTTAAGGTGACTCGACTGTTGCTCGAACTTTCTTTACTGTATACAATTTATACGCAATGGCATGATAAATATCAATTATCCAGTCATCCAAGCGTCAATTGTTTGTGCAAGATGAAAACGTTTCCACTCTTTAAATCGTGAAATGAAGATCGTTTTGTGAATGCTCTTTGTTATCTCAAATGCATCAATTAGAGCTATGGAGTTTAAAGGTTTGGTTGGCTTGCTTGCTTAGTTTGTATAAACGTTTGCTCAATCTTAATTACAATGCTTAGGCAACATTTACACAATCAAGGCCAACCACACCTTTTAACTACAAGCATTAGGAAATTAGCTCTAATGACGTTGAATTTATTAGGCGATGTAGATTTAGACCGAAACAGAAACTTTGCTTTTCTGGTGACGTGGATTGGCTTTACTGTCCAAGATATTTGTATTTAATGATGACGTGTCATAGGAAAGAATAAATTTGATCCTACATTTAGATCAGGACAAATAGAATTGACTATATTAGCAATAAATACCATGTTTAAGGAATTTATTGATATATTACCTCAGACTTTCACTCACTAAGTATGCATATATAATCAATCCTTCTGACTTCATAAATTTTGTTAGAGAGTCGGCTGAATTAAGACTTTATATAATGAAAATTAATTAATTTCCTTCTGTGAAAATGCATCGCAAATACAATAGAAATGAATCGCCCTACAGTGAAAATGAAAGTCTAATATCCATATTCGAGAGTAAACATGAATCGCATAACGAAAACAGCATAGTGGAATTTGATTCAATATCAACAAGCTGAATAACAAAACCTGTTTTAAGTTAAACAACATTAATAATTATGTTACAAGGTACATTTTTCTGCAAATGAAACTTAACTGCTACTGTAGGCGCGATGAGAACCCGGCCACATCTCATACCTATATCATGAATTTATAAAAACTGTACACATTATATTTTATTTTCTTATTTTTTTCAAAAATCCTAAATTTGTCGTCTGTTTATTTATCATTCTTCATCAAAAATTCATCACGAATACAGTAAAAATGACATTTGAGGATTCGCACATTACATACACTGACCATCATGAATATTACAACCATATTACTTCAGATGATGAAATGGTCATACAACATTCATTTATTCATAGAGACGTCTTAAGTATAACCTTAGACAACGATATATATCTGGTAAAACGTTTTTAAAGTTTAACATTTCAGGTACGTAAAACTTTTTTAATCGCGGTCTCCATTACGAATTTTAATTTCAACGGAAATATAAAGTTCATTGTAGAATATTGTCTTAAACCAATGTAACCAAAACTTCATGTCATCATAACAAATATATGTATATATCTATTTTGAGTATAAAAGGAAAATAGAGTATAAACGACACCAGAAGTCTCAAAGTATGTCTAATCGATATTTTCATTTCACCTAAATGTACATGTAATAGGTTAAACTATCAACGTCAACATCCATGGGTACCGGTAATTGATGTGTGTTATGGCATCGGATTTTTGCTCTTCAAAGAGTAAAATGACATTTAGAGTACAAAGTTGACTTTCGACTCTATGGAATTTCCTATAATTTTTTGGTCCAACTTAAGTCATAAATCTATTCATGAGTTCATGTACATCATTGCCTTTCAATATGAGTCGAGGCGTTCCAGATAAAGGTAAATCTAGAAAAGCGCTTCAGACTTATACAATTTATAAAATGTTATTTTCATTTTTGAGGCATTTAGTAAGACAAAACTTCAGCGACTATCTACCTGTGGTAGATTGCGTCATCTTCATTCATCGTGTGATATTTGATTGTGTTAAAAACAATTACCTTAACAAAAGGGGGGGGTCTAACAATGTCAATGTCAGAAGTGTTTGTGATTGAATAGTATTCGGTATGGATGGCTTCACACAAACCACATCTTTTTTACGACTTGACCGATCAACACACGATTGCCATCATTTCAATTTAATCTCAAAACTAGAAATGATACAGGAGCATTCATTATAAACCAAGATTGGTGCCTTCAATAGAAATGAGCAGAATGTGATGTCATATCTTGTCCTATGGATTTTTAATGAAATCTTTCCATTATAATGAAAAGATGATGAGTTATTTTTGACAAGAGAGATGTGTTGAAACCAACCGACTGATATGGAAACATGTTATTAAACGATGATATGAGTATAAAATTGTTTACACTAATATCGCACTAGTTTTAGTTACATTCACAATCATCTTGTAAACAAGCAGTCAAAATACCATTGTTGCACGATACGTCATTCTGTCATCTGTATTTCAGGATTGATTGATTAATTGATACGATCATTGATTGATTGATTAATTGATGGTTGTTTGACGCTGTGTCAGAACACATGGGCTTTATATGGTACTGCAGGAATAATTTTGTTTGTAACACGAAAGTAGGTGCAAGACCCGTCAATTCGATGAAAAATAACAAATTTACATAAGTATGACCATTTAGTTTACGTTTTCTCTCTGTATAATGATGTCTGTTTGATAACGTTAACTTACTTTCAAATATCATACACAGCTCTGTTCACTGTAGGAACAAACATTTGATGCAAAGATGACGATTTGTCCAGATTCAGCTTTAAATCTCTACGGAAAACTGAAGAACGACAAAGCCTACAGACAAACCTTTACAATGTTTGCGTGCTCCTGTTTTATTTTTCTTGTCTTGGTGAGTAACAATTACATACATATATAATGGTAAAATGAAACTGAATCAAGAATGTTTTACTCTTAAACTAGTATTATTAAATCAAAATAAAAATGTAAATAGAAAAACTGTAGCCTATTGATCAGAACCTTTTCAGGGCGTCTTTTGTTCCGTAAACTCTCTACTCGCAAGCCGAGACCAGTAATTTATATTCAGATATTATTATTACATATGATTCTGCTCAAATATAGTTTGTGTTTTCTTCTTATCTGCACAAAACATTTGCAAAATTTTCCGTACTCAGAATTGTATATTTCAATCAACCTGCCACTCCGAGTGTATACATCATAGTTTTATTATGTAAAATAAATTGCAAAGACTTTATGATAAACCTCGATGGAATGATACTTTATTTCTATAAAATTTATATATGCAGGGTTGGAATCTTGGACTTGGAGGGCCGACTCTTTTAGACCTTCAAATTATAGCAAACTGTTCACTAGAACAAGCCTCTCTGTTCTTTACAGCTATCTCATGTGGATATTTAGTTTCATCTCTTGTTATTGGAGTCACTTTTGACAGATTTGATAAATTTTTGCATATTGTTTTCGGAAATGTCGGCATCACAATCGTTATGGCTGCCATACCATGGTGCAAATATTATGAACTCATGTTCACAATGCATGTTCTAAAAGGATTTATGTGTGGATTTTCAGATGGAGGTATGTACAATTCAGCTTTCAACAAATCAGGTTTGCCATGTTTAATCTATAACTTCCTGTCGTAAGTATATTCATGACCTTCAGGTGACCTTGACCTCATACAGGTCTCTTAAGGTTCACATATGTCATTTTTGGGAACAGTTTTGTCTAGGTAATAATTGTTTATCTTTTGACATATACTTTTGATATTTGACACATGGAGGAATCACTAATTCTTCAAGACGATGTGTTATTGAAGATTACCTTTGTACTTGATCTTTGACCTAAATGTAACAAAATGCTATGTTAATACCTTTCTATCGCAGTATGGTTTTTTTTTCACGGGGAAGATATTCCGGACATTCATATCATCTTGAAAACTGCTTAGATCCCCGTTACTGAACCATGAATATTCTTAATTGATAAGGTCCTTTACAGTGCCTTAAAGGTGTTGACCCTGGGGGTTGTACCCTACTCTTTAATTGTAAATGTTTTCTATCAAAAACTATTCGGATCCCCCCAATGGAGGGTACGGCTCCGCTTCCTTATATTCTAACTTGTAATATATTTCGAAAACATTTAAGATCGCCATCCATTAATTAACCATGTATATTTATCATGGCAACATTCTTTCAGTACTGGAATGTGTTGTGCCTTTCATTTACCGGACTAACTTTTACTGATGACGCGGAGACATATGCTGCAGTCTACTATAGAACCATTCTAACCAGTTTATAATAACTCATCATAGATACTAGGATTAAAATTTGTATGCCGGACGCACGGTTCGTCTACAAAAGACTCATCAGTGACGTTTGAATAAAAATAATTAAAAAGGCCAAATAAAGTTCGAAGTCGAAGAGCATTGAAGGCCCACAATTTTAAGTTTATAATTTATCTGTTTTTTTTTCTTTTCCTTTTGAAAAAGAACGGGTTGTTAGCGAACCACTTTGGTCATATTTGACGAAGGGCCAGATCCACAAATAGTTTGGTTGGATTTGTTGAAGTAACATGTAATTTTATAGATAAAATTAGAAAAACCCCAGACATTTTTGGTTAATAGATATTGGTTGTTTGACACATAAAGTGTCGAATAATGGAAAATTGCCCACACAAGAATTATAACTAATGACGTTTTTCCTTTGAAATGGTTTAACTGAGCAACATAACAATGTGTAAGGAATGCTATTTGTTTTATTTTTACAGTTGCTTCTACCCTTTTGATTCACCTTCTTGGTCAAGACTGCAGAAGATATATACAGATTCTTCATTTTTTCTTCACAGTTGGAGGAATGCTATCACCGCTAGCCACTGCTCCTTTCTTAAATCAGTTTGAAGGATCGGATATAATAAAAAACGTGTCGTATGATGGGATATTTAATGTAACAACTTTGCTTTACAACAATAGTAACGCACCCACGGTTCAAAATTCACATGACCTTTCAATTTTACGAAATACTAGCGAGAGTTCACTAACAACGGAAATTTATAAACCATTCTTAATTTCTGCAGGATTAAGTTTTCTGTCAGTTGTTCCATTTTTTGTCATGTACTTTACATTTGATAAGCAACTGACGGAAACAAAACAAAAAAAGGAATCAAAAGTAGACAAAAACTGTGAACTTCCAATATTGCTCCGTATCCCAGCTTTATTGATAATAGCCTTATGTTCATCAGTTTACACAGCACTTGAGGATTCGTTTGCCAGTTTTTTGGCGACGTTTGCTGTAAAGCAGTATCAATGGGGAAAATCTGTAGCTTCATATGCTACATCACTTTACTGGGCTTCATTTTCAGGTGGTAGTCTTATCGGAATATTTATAGCGCCATTATTTGATTTGTCTAAATTCTTGACTTTCTACAGTTTGATGATAGTTTCATCATTTACCGTGCTCTTGTTGACTACTTTATATGGACTTGATGGTGGCATTTGGGCATCTGCTGCCATATGTGGATTCTTTATGTCGGTTTTCTTCCCATTGTTTTTCGCATGGGCAGAAGAGGATTTCCTTCATGTTTCTGCTCGAGTTACGGCTTTGATAATGATATCAGGAAGCAGTGGGGTAATAATCAACCCGGTAATTCTTGGGCAGTTTATGGAAGTATCACCTGTTTGGTTCTGTTACATCTTACTAGGAGAAAGTATTGTATTGTTCCTACTTTTTTGCGTTGGCACTCTCCTATCAAAGAAAACAAGAAGATTTCGAATGTTGTCAAAACTTGAAATTCGTGTGGACAGAAACGGGGAAATATATGAAAACGAAAATTCAGATGTAAAACTCGACAAAAATATTGAAATAACAAAATTCTGAACAAAATTTTTTTTTTATCACGTGTTAGATTAATTCAAATAAAATAATTCATCAAAGATACCAGGCTTATAATTGTTTTACGTCAGAACCGTTTTGTCTACCTAAGACTCATCAGTGGAGCTCTAATTAAAACAGTTGAAAGGCCAAATCAATTACGAAGTTGCATGTAGACCTTTGGAAAGCAAAAGTTCCAAAACGTTGTATCAAATCTGGCTTAGGTCATGTATACCTGAGGGTTTCCAATATTTTTTACATTTTCAGAATAGTAAATTTACAGAAAATGACCGTATCAATTACATGTCATGTAAGCACAGATTACTGGGCTTGTGATATTATCATGGACGAAACTTCCACCAGCAGTGACATCAACCTAGTGGTTGTCAAAACTTATCGAGGATACTAGTCTTATAAGTACCTCACGAACATGGGGAGACTTCTTGTTGTTGTTCGGTATCTTCTTCTTCTTTTGGTTAGTTTTACTATTATTCGTATGTTTCTCTGTCCTATATGTTCTCCCATTCATCTGTATTGTAGTCCTGTCATGTAATGTTGTCAATTCAATGTTATATTTTAACATTGCCATAAAAGCGGGAGGTTTGGCTAGCCACAAAACCAGGTTCAACCCACCATTTTTTTCTTAAAATGTCCTGTACCAAGTCAGGAAAATGGACATTGTTATATTATAGTTCGTTTCTGTGTGTGTTACATTTTAATGTTGTGTTTCTGTTGTGTCGTAGTTCTCTTCTTATATTTTATGTGTTTCCCTCAGTTTTAGTTTGTAACCCGGATTTGTTTTTTTCTCAATCGATTTATGAATTTCGAACAGCGGTATACTACTGTTGCCTGTATTAACTTTTATCAATATTCGTGATTTTTTTATTGAGACATTTTAATAGTTAATACTGTCACTCAATAAAAGTCGTAGGACAAAGTAAACTTTATAATTGGAATTAACACTCAAATCCCTTATACAGAAAACATGAGACAAATCTACTACAAGCATATCAAAAATATACTTACCATTCTCAATGAATAGGCTAGGGAAAATTTCCCCTGTATTTGTTTTACTTACATGGTCAAAATCTAAAAGTTGTAAAATTCTTCTGAATTTTCAATAATTTGGAGGCTACATCATATGCTTAAAAACGTTTTAAACAATTTTACATAATTTCTCAAGTAAAAATGTTATTTTTCGTTAAATTTTGCTGTGGAAAATAAATGTTAAAAGCACTATATGTTGTACTTAGTAACACTAGAAAATATTTCCCAAAATTCTAGTTTTACAAAATGTATTTAAAAGTCTTCAAATTTACGATTTAAACAGTCACGTGTATCATTATTAAACGATGTGCTAGCTATAGGCATAATAACAATAACAAAATTAATGTATGAAGTATATATGTAATGCTTGGCTACCCCCTGCCCATATGTAGAATGAACTGGGAGATGGTTGAGCATTCGTTTTAGTGCCTGTCCCAAGACGGTAGCCTGTTATTCAGTGGTTATCGTTGGTTGCTTTCAGTCATTGTTTTGTCATGAATGGGTCCGTTGGTTTTTATGTTTGACTTATTTCACATTTTGTCATGTCTCGACCTTTTATAGCTGAGTATACGTTATGGGGTTTGCTCATTGTTGAAGGCTGTATGGTGACCTATAATTGCTAACATTCGCGTCTATTTGACTCTGTTTGATAGTTGTCTCATTCGCAATCATATCACATCTAAGTAATAGTTGTTTCATTGGCATCATATCTCCTTAATTTCAGTCCTATTAAAAAAGATGAAGAAAGAATATTAAAATATTTTATACGACGATAATAATGTGTTGTGATCCGATAAATACCACTTACAAAAACATAGTTATCGTCTTAAAAAGTGTTTACATTATTTAATACAAGTGGAAAACAATATCAGATAATAAATAGCAACAATAAGTAAAACTAGAGGCTCTCAAGAGCCTGTGTCGCTCACCCGATTCTACTTTGGTTTTGGAAATCATGTTAAAATAGATTAAAATCATAACAGATACCCTAATAATGAGTGAGGCCAAATTTGGTTTAATATTGGCCCTGTAATTTTATAAAAAATCCTGGTGGCCATCTTGAACAGTAAATCAGCAACAAAGTAGCAACACTTCATCAGCACCTCATAGGAAACATTTATGCCATGTTTGGTTTCATTCCATTCAGTGCACCTCTAGAAGAAGCATTTGTATGTATTTCCAATAGGGTCTTATGTAAAAGGAAGTCCCCCGCTGGCGGCCATCTTGGATGATGGATTAGCTTCAAAGTAACAACACTTAGTCAGCACCTCATAAGGAACATTCATGCCATGTTTGGTTTCAATCCATTCAGTGGTTCTCTAAAAGAAGACATTTGTATGTATTTCCAATAGGGTCCTTTGTTAAACTAAGTCCCCAGCTGGTGGCCATCTTGGATGGAGGATCGGCTTCAAAGTAACAACACTTGGTCAGCACTTCATAAGGAACATTCATGCTATGTTTGGTTTCATTCCATTCAGTGGTTCTCTAAAAGAAGACATTCGTATGTATTTCCATAGGGTCCTATGTTAAACTAAGTCCCCCGCTGGCGGCCATCTTGGATGATGTATCGGCTTCAAAGTAACAAAACTCGGTCAGCACCTCATAAGGAACATTCATGACATGTTTGGTTTCATTCCATTCAGTGGTTCTCTAAAAGAAGACATTTGTATGTATTTCCCATAGGGTCCTATGTTAAACTAAGTCCCCCGCTGGCGGCCATCTTGGAAGATGGATCGGCTTCAAAGTAATTACACTTGGTCAGCACCTCAAAAGGAACATTCATGCCATGTTTGGTTTTATTCCATTCAGTGGTTCTCTAAAAGAAGTCATTTGTATGTATTTCCCGTAGGGTCCTATGTTAAACTAAGTCCCATTCTGGCGGCCATCTTGGATGATGGATTGGCTTCAAAGTAACAACACTTGGTCAGCACCGCTCATAATGAACATTCATGCCATGTTTGGTTTCGTTCCATTCAGTGGTTCTCTAGAAGAAGTTCAAAATATAGAAAGTTAACGACGACGACGGACGACGACGGACGCCAAGTACAAATAGATTTTATATTTCCGACAATGTACATTTACTTTTTTTTTCTATCCTGCAATTTACACACGTCACTTTAAGGTTTAGTTGTTTAAATCCTAATAGTTGTTTCTGATTTCTCACAGAAACTGACAAAGTTTCAACGCGTACCGGTAAATAGTCTTTTTCATACAGTTTCGAAAAAAAAGTAAATTTATTCGTCTATAATTTTATAATGAATATACATACTGAGATATAATAATAATTATCTTCTGTATGAATTGCCCGATAAAAAAATGCGAATAAAGCACATATGAAAAATCCCGAACTTCACACAAACATTTAATGATTCAGAACATCGTCTAGTGCAAGAGGTTTAGCGCAAAGCTATAGATAGACCTTGCGATATGTTATCTCGAAAGCCATGCAAATTTGGTGTCAACAAAAGGTAGACTAAGAGGTAAGAATACCATCTTAGGGTACAAATCAAGACAATATACAATCAACTGAATATATATATTGATCCCTATCCCACCTTATCAAACGTCTCAGTGGAAATTGTTTTTATTCACTTCTTTTACGATGTACTGGCTTTAAATACGTGAAGACATTTGGATTATCATCTCGTTAACTTCACGTCTACTCAGAAAAAATTTAACAGTGAATGGAAGTCCAGTTGCAAGGAAAGGTCTATATCTTAATTTATCGCACCTCGGGTAAATTAGTGAAATTAGTGACATGTGATTGGTTGAACGCAGTCACGTGGTGACCCCCCCCCCCCGATTAATCTAACCCTTTATGGATCAGTAGGGGTTCAGTAATAAACCATATAACTTATAGTTGTGTCCATTGAATGTTGACACAGGTCAGTTGTTCTGTACAACGTTAGTAAACTATGAAAAGTACAGAAAACTCAACTAATCCCATCATTGAGACTTGTATGATGCAACATATTGCAGCAACAACAAAAATTAACAATCAATTCAGTACAGTAAAATTTTATCTAATATTCCCGCTTATAAATTTCATTTGTTCCAAATAATTTTACAAATTAAGACACGAACAAAAAACTCGGCTGTCATTCGGTATATCGAGAAAAATGATCGTGAAAGAATAAGTAACGGTGGTTAAGTATTGCGATTGGATCGAGAAAGATCTGGTATAGGATCTTGAAGAAAATTTTATCGAGAAGACATATGCAACTTCAGTAAATAATCTAATTTAATTAATTATAATGACAAACATTGGAAAAATAAAACTGTCTGTCAAAATGGTTCAACATTATGAACAGTATCCGAGAAAAATCAAGGTTTTTTAAAAGTACACCGTTTTTACAAAACTACAAAAGGCAAATTGTTCATCGAAATTTCAAAGAACATGACTTTTTTTTCATATTTTGAATGCATAAACTACTTTTCTCTTAAAAATATCGTTCTTTACTACTGTTTAAAATGGTTCTTGAAGTAATTTTGTTTTAGTTTAATCAGAAACTTTGCAAAAATGAGAATATTTGTAAAAATTCGATATTTCGGATCGTGAAAGATCGGGTATCGCTATTTGATGATCGTGAAAAATATTATGAAATATCTGATGCCGCTTATTTGTAATGGAAAAAATCCACGAAAACGATCAAATTGTTCTTTAAACACATGATAATTTATATTTGTAATTGGTATATCAAAAGATCGGATTTTCATGATTTATTCCGCTTCAGTTTTGTTTCTGAATAGGGTTATGATGGTTAAATGGCAGTGGATCTGATTATTTGATTAAACCACACCATGCACACCGACTAGTTGCCCAATAACAATATAAGTCCGTCTGTCCGTCTTGCATACGTTGTATGTCGTATGGCAACTTAAGATTGAATCATCTAATTTCGATGAATTTTTCTGCACAGTCATATCTATAAAACGAAGATCCTTGTTGATTTTTGTAAAAATTGGCAAAATAAAAAAATTGTTTACAGACAACCGCAGGAAAACAACTGCCATAAT